AAGGTTACCCTGATCAGTTAACTTCAACCCAGAAACAGATTTACCTGTTGTTTTGGTAGACCAAACTAGAGTGCCATTAACATCTTGCAGTGTTAGATCCCCTTGCTGGGAAAGTTGCAATGTCGCCCCATGTCCAACAGGATTGTTTCGATTAGCAGACCATACCATTTTTAAATTCACAGAATAGTTGAAATCGAGGTGGGAGTAATTGGAATGGAAGATGGAGATAGCAAAGAGGCAGGTGTTGTCTTCTTTTAATTTGCAGTGGAAGCCACAAACAAAATTCCCATTGACAAAGATGGGTTCCAGTATCAGCTCTTTTGATACCCAACTAGAGTTTGAGATGATGTTAGAGTAAGAGACAGGAGGCTTCACAATTGAACTTTGCACCTTTATAAACACAGATTGATAGTTATCTGGATTCACTTTCTTGAATGAAAAAGCTTTAGATCTTAAAAAGCACCTTCCAGATGATGAGGAATTACTATTAGGTTGGAAAACAACATAGTTGCAAGAACAATTCTTTAAACAGGCTTGCTTGCAGCTCTCGGTGTCTGTTACGTGATATTTAACTCCGAGAACATAATCAACATTCTTAAGCTCAATAAGACTGTGTTGGTAAGGAAACTCACATGATATTGGAAAATATGGAGAACATGTATAAGGTTGGGACAGAAAAGACTGGGACAGAAAAGACTGGGACTGAAAAGACTTTATCTGCTTGAAGTAAGTTGGGCAACTGCATCCTTGTGCCGAACAAATTCCATAATTTCCGCATGCCAATGGATAATCACATTCATGGACTTGGTTCTCAAACAAATCATCCGTTGGCCATTCCACTACTCCAATCCGAGACCATAAGTGGCCATCAGAGCCCAATTGTATAAAACGAACTCCAGATCTTGGAGAAAGACCAATGCCGAAACTTGTGTTAGTGAGCTCAGCATAAAACTGCCCCGTTTGGCTACTTAATTGAGACTTGTTGGATTTGTAATACACTATGGTAGCATCTAACACCACAGAAGCAACAAAATAACCATTATTATCAATTGAAAATGAATATAAACCCTCACTCCAATTTGTGTGAGACATACTTGCCACCAATTTCTGCCCAGAAACTAGTCTCTGTCCGAGAACTAAAGAGTCTGTTGGATGATCAAAAGATTGCCAAACCATCTCATTGTTTCCATCAAACAGCATAAGGTTACCCTGATCAGTTAACTTCAAACCCGAAACAGATTTACCTGTTGTGTTTGTAGACCAAATCAGAGTGCTATCAACATTTTGCAGCGTTAAATCCCCTTGTTCGGAAAGTTGCAATTGTGCCCCACGTCCAACTGGATTGTTTCGATTAGCTGACCATACGATTTGTGGATCCATGTAAGAGATGGAAGTGAAATTGAAGATGGAGATAGCAAAGAGGCAGGTGTTGTTTTCTTCAACTTTGCAGTGGAAGCCACAAACAAAATCCCCATTGACCAAAATAGGTTTCAGTGTCAAGTCCCAACTAGAGTAGTTTGAGACGTTGTTAATCCAAGTGCCTGGAGGCTTCGCAATTGATGGATAATCAACAGCTTCACCATTTGCTAGAAGCAATGATGTTTTTAACAGAGCTAGAAAGGTAGCAAGAAAGTAGACAGTATACCGTCGCCTCCCAACTACCATTTCTCTTATGATTTATTGCTCTAAAACTATAAAATTGAGCAGCAAGACTAGTTAAATGATTTATGAAGAAACAAAATAGAAAGCCCAAAGCATTAGAATGATAAGTTTGTAGATTTTTTTTCTTCTCTCCTTTAATTGTAAACTTCACTCACCATACAACTCCGTGCAAATATCTAATTCAAAGTCATGTAAGCTATTCCACAACTTGCTAATCGGGGCAGTCAAGTCAATGTGGCTACATATTTCCTCATAAGAGCAGTGCTAGGGGCACTCGCCTTCTGCACTCTCCGGCCAACACTCTCATTTTGATCGGGCCACGTTATTTGATTTGAGAGGTGGCGCTCCAAAACCACCGACGCAAGCTTACGTGGCCCAATGAAAGTGGAAGTATTGGCCGGAGAGTGCAGGAGGCGAGTGCCCCTAGCACTGCTCTTCCTCATAATTAATGCCTTCTTTCCGCACATTGAGACACTAAGTCGTTGGCGCCCGTTGACCAGAGACCGTGAGTGATTTTTAAACAAAGGGTTTTTCTAACTTAAGCATATTTTTTTACATAATATATACGAAAAAATATAAAAATTAATAATAATTTTAATATTAATGTTAATGGAATAAATTTAGTTAAATAATTAATAAATTAAAAATTAATTTTTATTTTTAACATAAATTTATTATAAAATATATATTTATTATACATTTAATTTGTACTTTTTAAAGACATGTTAGATAAATTTTAAAATAAAATTCATAGAAAAAAGTGTTCAATTCCCCAATGGAATGGGCAAAACTAAATAAGAGATTATGTTGCTCTTTATATGCTAAAAAATGGTTTTTAAATATTTTTTGACCATAAAGGAATTCAAATACTTTAAATCAAATTCTTGGCAAATAGGTTAGTGCCTCTAATTTTATAAGCAATGAAATCACTTGATTTTTTAATTAACATAAATCACTTGATGCCGAAAGGAGAAGAACTCACTAACCTTTGATTGTTTCAAAACAACTTAGATAACATACATGTCATAAGCCAATGCATGATGGTAAGTGTAACACGTGGAAAGCTGAAGGACACTATTTCTTTAATAAGAACAAAAAGCATATTTAGCAAATAGGAAAAAAGAAAAAAAAGAAAAAAAAAACATGATTAGAAACATGGAAGCACAAAGACAGTATCATCGTCCATATTGCTGAGTTACATACCATTAATTATTCTAATGCTTAATACTTGATTTTAAATAAATTAATTTCTTTTTAGCAAGTAAAATAAGTTCATTTGATCCCTTTAAAAATATCTATAGTTCTATTCTCTTTACTAAGCAAGAACTAAAAAGAATCTTACAATTCCGTGTTGCAAAGACGTGAGAGGCTTGCCTCCCCACCAAGTCAAATCCAAATTCCAAACTGGCCATTGCCTTCAAAGTTTGAAAATTCAAACCTAAAAAGTAGCCAACGATTAGAATGGTTTTTTTTTTTTTTTTTAAGGGTAATGATTAATAGTTAACTTAAAAATTGTTAATAACTAGGGATTCGATCCTTAAAATAAATGATCTCTAACTTCCCTCATTGAGTCACGCGACCATCAAACCGCATGGTAGAATTCGACTAAAATGGTATGTTGCATGGCTAAAAAGGTACACAATGATACTCACCTACTAAGAAACTTTTCTTATGATACAAGTCAATTAAGTTGGGCAGTAATCATTGTTTTTTTTTTTCAACAGTAATTAAGTGTCTTTATAAAGTATGCATTTATTGTGCAAGCTTTAATACATACAGAAAAAATGAAGCTAAAACTATCAAAACATATATTAAGGCAAACATAATGGTGGTCAACCAAGTGACTTTGAAGATGATAAAACTCTTTATTAAACATCACATAACGGCTGTGCATGTCATAGAAGAAGAGGAAACGACTAAAGAATTTAACATTACCAAACTTCTTCATTGAAAAGTGCTCAAGTTCTAGACCTCACTGGATTCCCTCTCTCTTGGTTCTCGATTCTTCTCTCTATTATCATTCATCTCCTTTCCTAATTCCAAATGCTTGATTTCCACATTTCTATTTTCGACAGCCCCAAGATTTATATTAATTACAGAAAGTGGATAAGAATTAATTGATGATACTACTTTAAATTTAAACTCATTACTACTACAACTAAAAAGTCATTAATCGAAGGTATAAACGCAATGTAAAGAAAATTTCAAATATATTCCTTAAACTTCAGGTATTTTATATGGATTGTGGATCTTAAAAGTTAGAGGCCAATCAGAGGAAGTTTAGCCATTGATCTCTTTAGCAATAAAATCCAGGATTACAGTGGATCAGAAGGAGAAGCATATCAGTCACGTACTAAAAAACTTAAGTAAATACCAGAGTACAATTATTTTGTGACAAAACTCAGAAGAGGGTAAATCAACATACCTTGGCAACAAAGCTTGAAAAAGAAGACATGTGATACAATATATGTATATATAAAACATGGTTAGAAACGATTGCTCCAGTTCTATCTGCCTCTTCTGATTCATCTTTGCTCTAATTCTAAGCCAGAAAAAAATGAAAAAGGAAAAAAAAAAAGTGATGAAGAAGTTAAAGTTGAGTTATCGAATCAAATCGTAGCATTTATATCAATGCTGAAAGCAGAGAAATCAGACCATAGTCCTTTAAACAGCATACCATCTTTTATTTCTTAGAGATCTATTACTACCCAATCCTAGAAAATTTTTAACAAATATCAGGAAAAAAAATATCAAGAAAAGAACTACTGTTGCAAGAAAGCAATAGTATGGCATTTGATTCAACAAAATTATCAGAAATAATCTTAGGTTCACATTTCAGAAAAAGGTCTCAAACAATTTCCAAATAATAAAATCAAATGATTATCTAAAGCTGCATTAGGAAGGACGGTGATGCAGCTATCCTGCATGGTTCTTACACTTTCAAAATCAACAATTTTGATATGCCCATCAATAGCAATTAGTAGCACGTTCTTTGGTTATACCATTTACAAAAATTTTTACCACTTTTTAGATGGCAACTTTAAATAGCACGTGATGGTAGGCAAGTGCCTTGATCCATCTGCAAGTGAAGTAGAGTCATTGCAATAGTGGCAAGATTCACTATATCCTTTTTCTCTATGGTTCCTTTATTTTAATACTGTAAGAATAAAATTGGGAATGTAAAGGCTTGAAAACATTTTTGTTTTTACTTGGATAATGTCTCAAGCACTGGATGAATAAACTTTTGTAGTTTGTTTCCTCTAGGGAACAATAATATCAAAGTGCCAATTGCAAAGTAACTATAAATTCACCAACAAATCAGAGAACTCGAATGCTACAAAACTCAATTTTTATATATTTTAATGGATTGGAAGAAATTTAATGAAATCATATGATTCTCTTAATCAACAACGGATTTGGGCATAGAAAATATACCTTAAATCAAACCCACTCCGCTTCTCCTATTCGATTTTCACTTCAAGAAATCCCCACCGTTGCATACACGAGCTCTACTCCGTTTCCCTTTCTCCAGTAGCTTGGAGATATGGTCAAAAGACCAAAAAACAATCTCCAGTAGCTTGGCTAATTATATTGAGGCAAGACTTGGTAACATCAATCAAATACAACGATCGACTGATTTTCATTTTTATGTTCTAAATCAAACTAAAGAATTTGAGTAAGATTGCTTTGAGAAGCTATTTAAATGCAGGATCTTGAATGCATGAGTAAATCCGCTATGGGAGCAATTGTGGAGAGTCAGTGATGGTGCTGATGAAAGGGTAAAAGCCAAAATAGAGAGATTGGGGCAGTGTGGACTGTGGAGTGCTCGGCGAGATTATTCTTGGGAAAGGTTTTCAACGGTTATTGGAAACAAAGAAGTTCCAGGCAGTTATTATTGCGAAAGCGAAGAACAATGAAATGTCCAGATTGATGTCATTTTGGGCCAGCCAAGCCCATTTAATCTACATTGAAAGCGTTGTTAATAATAAAGATCGATGACAATAAGGATTGATTAGAAGTCATTACATAACAAAAATGCATCTATACTAATTCCCAATAGAGAAAGGAAAATATCTTTATTTTTAATTTTTTTAATAATTGATTACTATTAAAACTGATCACAAATTAAACAAAAATCAAAGATTAACTAACATAATTCGTGTAATAATAATGATAAATAAATTTAAAAGCTTTTAATTTGAAAGTTTTACATAATATAATATAAAAGTATTCAACAAAACTTAAAAAGCATGACTAAATAATTATTTGTCCCCATGTCATCAGAAATGCCATTTCTATTTACTTTGGTATTTATGAATAGTTTCTTAAATAGTCTCATATTAATTTGCATACACTTTCATATTAATCCCTCTTCATGTATTATTCAATGAAATTGTCTTTGATGCTAATCAATTCAACATTCATGATAGTTAATATTTAAATATAAACTTTTCCTTTCCCTTCGGTGCTCACTGTACAACTTTGAGTAAACATCTAATTATGTCAATGTAAACTATTTCTCAACTTGCTAATTGGGCTGTCAAGTCATTATATCTAATGTTTTCCTTTCGATTTCCCATTTTATCGGGTACTAATTTCCCTTCAATTTCTTGTTTCGGAGTGGAGCATTTTCCAGGAAAAAGAAATGCTCTGCTTTCTTCGTAACTAACCCCTTCTTTCTGTTGAAAAATATGAAGCTTAATATCGTCAACTACCAGGCGGCAGGCACCAAATCGATCTAAAGACTCTCCTCTCAACATCTTATAATAGCAGCAAAAGCCTGAAGATGATAACTCTCAACGGCCAAGTTCTCATCTCATAGCCCGAGTCTGCAGCCATTTGCAAAGCCTAAATCTTTCATGCCACCATCCATTATGATTCACACTCTGACCTATGTTTTAATTACTCCATTAATAATTATTAGGACTTATGTATACCTCGTCCCTAAAAGTTTGGATTCAAATGGTTATTATTAGTTAATATCTTGACACTAATAAGCTATTTACATTTACACCACAATTGAAATTTTTTCTGAAGATGTCA